ATGCTTTGTTCCAGGCATGTTAGTTCTGGGTTCCTCAGACTATGACCCAGAGAAAGCAGAGAAATTTCTCTCACTTGCAAAAGAGGTACTCTTTCTTCAGAGTTCAGACTGCATTGTTATTTCCTCTTTTATGCTTCTGACTTGATAATGAACTTGATTTTGTTTAAACGTACATTGGTGTATGAGGTTGCATGCCTGTAATATATCCAATCATATCTTTAAGACAGCTAAGCTGTTGAATTGCACTGGCATGAAGGAAATAGTCAAGTCTGATAATCTAAATTAATAACTGGCTTTCAGAAAAATCTTATATAATTATAACCAAAATCTTCTGCCAAAATGTCACCCCTGCTAGTACTCTTTAATTTGATTCCAATTCATTCTTCAACGCCTTGTTTTTTGTCCTATCATTGTAAATTAACTTTTAGTATGTCGTTTCCACAAATATTTGAAATGACTGGACAAAAATCTATCTTCAAGATTTTGTACCTGTCTTTCTTTTTCATTTAACATGTTTCTTGATGATTCCGCTTTCTTTGATTTGAGCATTTGATCTGAATGATCACTACTCTCATCACAAGTGGTGTTTACAAATACAGAGTGTTTAGTTACATTTTCAATGCATAATTTTCTACCTTAACTGTCACACCTAACAAAGATCTTGCACCCCTACTTGATCTGCTACTTGATCATTTCAATTCCTTCGTGGTTTGAGCATTCTACATAATAATATATGACTACTTGATCATTGATCTTGTTTGTTTGATTTTATGTTTATGAGCATTTCCTTTGTGGTCACAAACTATTTCAATCTGGGTACATAATTTTCACAGTCCTTCCTCTGTTCCTTGTTCTTTTTATTCGAACATGTGCAATTGGAAAATATCTTTCTCTTACTTGTTAGCCTGTAATGACTGCAAATCAGATCCTTCTTTTATTTGTCTTCTGCCCTTATCTGTAGTCAGCAAATTTCTTATGCAGCTTGCTTGGACTTGCTATAATTTCTACCAATCAACTCCAACAAAATTAGCTGGAGAAAACTACTACTTCAATGGTGGAGAGGTCAGATAAACTTAACTTGCAAATCTTCGACATAAGTCATACCACTGCTAAATAATTATTATTCCATGCATTACTTCAGGATATGAATGTTGGCACATCATGGAATATATTAAGACCAGAGACTGTGGAGTCACTTATGTATCTCTGGCGGTTCACTGGAAACAAAACTTACCAAGATTGGGGTTGGAACATATTCCAGGCATTCGAAAAGAACTGTCGTATCGATTCTGGTTATGTTGGACTAAGAGATGTAAGTTTCTTGTTACACTATCGATGACCTTTTCCCTCAATGTCATTCATTCTGGGTTGTTCATGGTTTATGTGGAAGTGGTACTTTCCTTCTGAATTCCCGTTGATAAAATGATATTTGTCTTTCAACATGTATGTTGGCTTAGTGTTGTGGATATTACTTACCTGTTCTATATGCATAAAGATTCATCTGATTAGTAACTGAGATTTAAGTGCTTGATTAAAATTGCTTTGCCAAAGTACAAACAAATACTTCTCATTGTCTCTATGGGACTACTGACCAAGTTTCATGGATGCACATTATTTCTGTGGGAGATAATAGTTTGCTGGTGACTTGGCTTGCACCTGTAGTGGGACCTTTAATTCGTTTTACTTGTGTCACTCGTTAAAATATAACAAATCTCAAGTTCAAGTGTGTTGTCACCAACCATTCCACAGCCAGTTAGTTCCTAGTTCGTTCACTGGACCAGACAGTGCTTATAACAAATAACCCTATCCAGTTAGATCAGATCAGTTATGTTTGAGCAGGCAATGATGGAATATCTTAGTCATGTAACTAGCTTATTTAGGATATGTTCTGGGGAACAATGGTTAAAGATGGCCATTCTTATCCTACTTGTGAAGCTGAATTGTGAGGGGAATGTTGGATCTTGAGGAAAGAGCTAGCCTTGAATCTCAGAGAACTCTTCTATGTTTCAAGCGAAAATGTTGCTGCCATTGAGTGTGGTTTGATACAAAGGTTGGTGTTATTCACAAGCTGTTTATTTTCCCTTTTTTCCTTGTCCATCGACATGCTTATGGAGACTAATTTGTTGTGAAGCAATTCTTTTTATGTTTCTTCTTCACCATCTTTGTTAATATAATTGGTTTTACTTGTTGATGTGGTTTTCTCTCTTGTTGTGCATTACTCTACTGCTAAAAATGTTATCTTCCTTGCTATACAAACATAGTTGATTGAAATATACCTTCTGCATCCCTTCAATTCTCCAGGACTAATTTTCTGATGTTGTCTTCAGGTCAAAACAGGTGAGAAGGACAACATGATGCAAAGCTTTTTTCTTGCAGAAACACTGAAGTATCTCTATCTCTTGTTCTCACCGCCATCACTCATCTCATTCGATGAGTGGGTTTTCAACACCGAAGCTCATCCTTTACGAATCGTTACGAGAAAAGATGGACAAGACACGGAACCAACAAGGATATCAGTCGCTAAGCCACTTGGAAGAAAGCAAGGAAATGAAGAACAGAATTGAGGCCTTATCAAATTTTGTTTCGAGTGGATTTTATTAATCTGATTAACTAATTACAACCTCAAAAGTCCAATTTATCTTGACCGAAATGGGGGAGCACATCTGACAGAATGATTTCATGGCATGTTCATTGTGAAAGGTGGGATCGTCTGCAGAATGATGGATATGAGATCACATTTAGAAATGTGTGATTGGTTTACAAATATTGCATCTTTCTTGACGGATAAATGAGCAATTCCATTGCTTCATGTCATTCGCATATGGATGGGTGTTGCCATCCGATGTAAATGTTCTTCTTTTGTAGGTGCTACTCTTTCTGTTTATGAAACCTCTTACAGCATACTTTTCCTTACTCTCTTATCATCTTTGAGAGGTTTTATTATTCTTTCATTATTAGGAAATGACCTAATGTATTTAATAGTTTTAACAATTGGCGAGTATATGATTTTTGATAGATTGTTGTCTACTTTGGATTATTCAATTCCACTTGATGAACAAAATAAGAATTTTTTTTTTGCGTCAAAAGAAAAAAAAAAGCTTTGGTATATATATTCCAAGGAAATTGTTATATAAGAGATTTCGCTTTCAGAGAGCGTCGTCAGGTGGCACGTGCGAGCGCGACGAGCAGCAACTACCGGCGGCTTCGCTGCACGTGCATCCGAGATCCGTCCGCCGTGGATTCTGGTCAGCATCACGTGTTCCTTTGGCCGTCAAGGGAGTCGGCGTCACGTGTTCAACAAAAGCCGCTCTTTCTCCGTACATAAAATGCCAAAGAAAACAAATCTTAAATTCAGTTCCTACGGGTGAGAGAGTGAGATGTATAGAAACCACGTGCATAATAAGAACAATTATCTTGTCATCAAATCCAAAGATGAATATTTTAAGAAGATATGGAGGAAATTATATATATATATATATATATCTTATTTTCACTTTTTTTCGGATTAGTGCCTTTTTTATTTATTCCTGCATAATATTTTTTATTTTTTTAAAAATAAAATTATCCCTAATCTTCTGCTTGCCTCACTTACATACCCTGCTCTTATCATCATCCTCGTTGATTCGACACAAGTTTTTATGACTATTGTCATCGATGTTGCGACAAACACTATGTGAATATATTGGTTACGAAGGAGTTAACTTTGGCCTCGGACTCAGCCTTGCTCCTAGCTACACCTCTACCGTATCATTACGCGATGCCCAATAGATCCATGCATCGCAGGAGTAAATGTGGTTTGACAGAGGAAAGTGAGTAGCATGGGAAGGGCTCATGGACGAGTAACAAGGCGAAGGGCACACAACGAGACGAGTGATGAGGGCACGTAAGATCACACGACAATACCTTGTAGAGGTGGGTGATAATCGATGGAGTGGAGGATAAGGACAATTTTTTTTCTTAGAAAATAAATAATGCTATGCAAGAATAAATGAAAAGGATATGCCAACCAAGAAAAAAAATAAAAATAAGGGACTTATATATTTTATAGTGCACGTGATTTATATATATCTCACTCTCTCATGGGTTAATTACAGATTAGATTATCCTATGTAGTTAGTTAGTTACCTTTAGCATCATCCCGATCCCTACACTTTAAAAAGTTACATTAACATCTCTATAGTTTCGAAAGTGAAACATCTATGTCCATTTATTCTAACAACAACATTGTTGGGTCGCAGATGATTGTTGTGGACGAGGAGAGCAACAACAAGAAGTGAGGGTTGTTCTGTATCTGCGTCGGCATCGGCGCAATTGCTGAGTGGTGTTACTCTGCATCTGCGTCAGCATCAATGTAGTTGTTGAGCGATACCGCTCTACATCTACATTGGAGTCGACGTAGTTGCTAAGCGATGCTGCTTGGCATTTGCATCAACGGTCTTTTCATCGTTTGACAACTGTGTCAGCGTCGATGCATATACAAAGTGGTCCTCATCTCTCGTCATTACTCTCTTAATCCATAATAGCCACTTACGACCCTCAATAGCATCGTCGTTTTTCACCATTGATTGAAATATTAAAATTATTTTTGTACCTTTTATTTTTTTATTTTCGTTGGTAAAACCGATTGTGTTAGGATAAATAGATGTAGATGTTTCATTTTCGTAACTATAGAGATATCAATATAATTTATTAAAATATAAAGATAGAGATGATAAAAGTAACTAACTAGGGGTTAATATATAATTAGCCCCTCTCTCACATGTAGGAATTGAATCCAAGTAGTTGTTGATTTCTTTTGACATTTTTAAATTAAAACATTATAAAAATATGTAATCTAAAATATTGTTTCAATAAAAATTCTCGAAGCAAATAAAACAACAACCAACATTGCGTAGGTATGCATGTGCAAGACGTCTCCTTCTCACCTCGTTCCTTCCCTTGGTGTGCGGGTTAAATCGCAACCTCCACACAACCACCACCACCACCATGTCTCTTTCGTTTCTCCTCCCCTTCCTTCCTTCGTTCTCTTTCTGTCTCTATATATGTATATATATATATAGAAAGAGCCACCACGGGCGGAGACGGATGTGATTGCAGGGAGGGGGCGGAGATGTGCGTGGTGTTCCTATGCAGGGAGGAGGAGGAGGTGTTGGGTACGCACAAGGCGCCGGGGAGCTGCCCCTACTGCGGCGGTGCGGTGATGGCCACCTACGTTGAGAGCGCGTGGAGGCTCTGCTTCCTCCCCCTCTGCCACAAGATCAAGCGCAAGTTCTCCTGCACCTGCTGCTCCCGCCGCCTCGTCGCCTACCCGTAGCTGCCACCCTCCAATCCTCTCAAGATCCGACGACCTTTCCTCTCAAAATCGTGGCGCTTTGGCACCGTTCTCTGTGAAAGATCACATCTTTTTGCTTCGTTAGTCGGCAGTTTTCTGTTCTCGTTGTCATCGTTTTAGCTCTGTTTTTTGTTTTCAGGGTTTTTGTTACAGAAGCGTTTTAGATGAACTTGTTTTATCTCTCTCTCTCTCTCTCTGCACCAATATCTCAGTTTGGATGGACTGAGAAATTAGACTGAGGAAATATCTTCATGATCTGCCAACACTTTCTATATCTTAAAGATACAACTATTTGGCAGCGGCAGGACAACCTTGTATTGTAGGGGATAAGCTCAAAGGATCGACATATATACAAATAGAGTAATGAAAGGATCACTCAGTAATTATATTGATATCATCATTTATTATCAAATTATATTGACATCATCATTTATTACCACCGACAGTATCCATTATCACTAACTAAAATATTAATTTTTTTATTTTCATATTTTTATTAATAAAATCGATAACGTTAAGATAAATAAATCTAAATGTTTCATTTTTATAATTATAAAAATATCGATATATTTTTTTAAAATATATAAATCGAGATACTAAACATAACTAATTACAAAGTGTGTAATTAGTACATATGCTGCAATCTTGTATTGTTCCAATACTTTTCAGATTCAAATGAATCAAGTTGTGCAAGAAGAGAGGATACTTGGAAGAGGCTGATGATTAAGAGGGACTTCATTTTACTTTCAGCATCCAACAGCCATCCAGCTAAAATGGAAAAGGGTTCTCTTTTGACTGGCCCAGTGAGCCTATAATTGCTTTCAGCATCCAACCATCCATTCACATTCATGAAATAATCTGCTGACAAGTACCATCAGAGTTCTCATGAACCAATTCTGAAGCATAGATGTAATACCCAAAAAAAAAAGGGGGAGAAACCAATGCAGAGGGATAAACAAAATGAAACAAATTGCTTATACAACTGAAATCTATGCAAAGGCAACTGTTTGAAGTTTCTACAACTCAAGCAAAAACTGAGGCAGCCACTTCATTAGAAGGATCCCAAGGTGTGATTAGTATCTACACTCATGCATGACAAAGCTCAACTTGAAAAGACATCATTTTTGTATCTTCTGATCCAAGATACAAAATAGGGCTAAATTTGTTATGTAGTTACACATTGTTAGTATCTTGATCCTTAGTCTTAAAAAATTTATATTAGATCACTATAGTTATAAAAGTAAAATATTTATCTATGTTCATCCTAACACTGTCGGTGGTGACGGATGTCGGTGGTGATGGATGATGATGTCGTTGGTAGTCGCGAGTAACTTTTGTGGATAAGAAGAACGACGATAAGAGGTGAGGGCCACTCTACATTTACGTCGATGCCGACATAGTTATCGAGCGACATCACTATGCATCTACGTCGGTGGCTCGTTCGTCGCTCGAAAATTACGTCGACGTTGACGCAGATGCAGAGCGACAAAAAGGCTACTCAGGTGGTTGTTGTGAATGAGTAAGGACAAGAGATGAGGGCTGCTCTACATCTATGTCGATGACGATGCAATTGTCGAACGACCTTCATCAACGACCCTTTTGTAGCTCGACAATTGCATCGCCACTGATACAAATGTCAACGGCCCTTTCGCCACTCTATATCTGCATCAACATCGACGCAATTGTCGAGCGACAAAAGGATCATCGATGTAGATGTCGAGCGACCCTTTCGCTGCTCGACAATTGCATTAATGCTAACGCAGATGCAAAATGGTTCTCACCTCTCATCGTCGCTCCCCTCATTCACAACAACCACCCGAGCAACCCTTTCACCACTCTCTATCTACATCAACGTCGACATAATTGTCAAGCGACGAAAGGGTTGTCGATGCAGATGTCGAGCAATCCTTTAGCTACTTGACAATTATGTCGACGTTGACGCAGATGCAGAACGACCCTCGTCTCTCCCTGTTGCTCTCCTTATCCACAACAACCACCGGTGACCCCCAACGATGTTGTCATCCACCGCCACCGACGTTGTCCGCTATCACCAACTGAAACATAAAATTATATTTTTATCCTTTATCTTTGTGTTTTCATTGATAAAACCGACGGTATTATGATAAATAGAACTAGATGTTTCATTTTCATACCTATAAAAATTTTAATATAAAATTTTTAAATCTAAAAATCAGGATGTTAAGAAAATCTAACTACAAGAAATAACTCAACAGGAAACATAGACAGACACCTTTTGAGGCTAGAAAGAAAGACACCTTTTGAGGTTATTGTTCATGAACATCTACTTTGATTCTGAGTCCAAAAAAAAAGTCAACAGGAAACATAGAAAGACACAAAATATAAGAGAATACACCTGCTAGAAAGAAGTTTGTTATTTTATTGTCATCTTGTACATGAAACATGTTTAGAACAATCTGGTCAAGGAAACCCTAAAAAAAGATGGCTCCTGCTTGCAGGCCGTCCCTAAGCTATTTAACTGAGGACTCGAAGCTTATCACAGGTGTGACTCCTTGATTACATGTGTTTGCAAAGATGATCATGTCATTTATTTCACTATCCTCTAGCTCTAAAACCTCAAGCATCAGCAAACAAACATGCAAGGAAGCAGAATGCATAAACTAATGTCATCTCAGAAGGCACAATCTTACTGACATAGTTTTTTAAAAGCCTGATTCTAATCCTACACTCGATTGAACCCCTCATGAACTAAACCCATCACCCTTTGGGGAACAGGCATATCTGCCCAAACCTTGTCTACATCATGTCAGCGCACCAACAAAACCTACTTGGGACTCTCTTCGAACTGCGTTCATAGCACAAATTTAACTCAGTCCCCACTAACCATCTTCTTCCATGTAAAATGTATGTGAACATCAAATAACATCGAGTGGAGTCCCAAGTATTTTTGTGCAACATTGACATACCTTCTTGTATCTCGTTGTGGCACCATGCATTTACTTTAGTAGCTATCACCAGGGCGCGGAAGTGCACACACGAATACCAGAATAATTCACTTACAATTTGTAGCAGTCAGACAAGAGGGATAAAAAATGCTATTTACGTTGGTAAACAACACCATTTAATTTCCCACAAATGAAAATCATATAAAAGGCTACCACAGAGATGATTGCTAATGTACTATAAAGAAGCACAATAAAAGCATCAGTATATGGAACATATCCAGTAATTGATTCAAAGCATCAAAACTGCAAAATTTGATACTATTCCAATGCTAACTAAAAACTGAATTCAAATTATTTTCCTTCTACAGAAAAATTAAGACACTGAAGAAGCAAACTCAGTCATTAGTTCATCCTTCTGATGAGCTCATTGATGTAATCCTCACGGTTTCCAGCATCTCCTCCCTCAACATAGTGCCTTCTTTTCTTTTTCAGGCCACCCAATGGTGCCTTCAACTTGAAAGGCCAGAGGAAATTGTTTGCCTCCTTAAAGTGTGTACCAACAGTCATGATTTCATGCACAAGATCTTCCATGCAGATAATACCATGTTTCCCCAAACCCTACAACCCACCAGAATCATCATGTAAACTACAGAAAGGAAAGGATAACTAGAAGCATAATGAACGAGCACAAGAATTGCCTCTTGTAACAAACCTGCTCGATGATTGCATTGTCTGTCAAGGGAATTCTCTGTTTGTTCAACTTTCCATATCCCCTCTTATAAATCAACTCCCTAACGCTCTTGAGATTGGGATACCTGATGCATACATCCACAGTCAGAATAGCATGATACATGATTCCTCAACAACATAGACAACAATAGATTTACAGAAAAACAACAATTCAGTACCCATAAGTGACATAAGGCTCCACCCTCTGCAACATGTTCATGGTGGCCTTGTTCACTTTCAGAAATACACCATTGAATATCTACAGCATAATGCACATTAGTAAAGGCACTACAAGTGAAGCAAACTGCAACACGACACTGACAGTGTATACCTGTCTGAGTCGAAGGAGCTGCAAGATTTTTCGTGTTTTAGGGTGCATCGCATTGATACTGCATAAAATGTCAGTCAATGGTGACAAAGATAGCACGGGAATCGAATCAGCAACTGAAGATGAAAGGATTTTTTTTGAACAATATAGGAGGATGAGAAGATGCTCTACCCTCGTATGCGGATGATGAAGAGCAGCTTGGCCTCGGGGCTAACGTAAAATCCTCCCTTCATCCTCGCCTCCCTCTTCAATCGGATCAGCTCCTTCTCCTACCAATTTAAACCCCAGCTCAAGTTTTTATGGATTCTTTAGGAAGTAAGACGTACCAAAACGCTCAAACCAAGACTAATTGTCCCAAATTCCCACCTGCGACTCGTACTCCTTGGCATACTGTTGCGCCCTGGTGAAGATTAGCTTCCGGTTCGTGCGGTCCTTCTTCTTCTTCGCATCTACCGCCTGCTTCTTCGCCACCGCCCATTGTTCCTCCCTCTTCCGCTTCTTCAACACCGACTCGGGGACCACCGCCTTCGCTTCCTCCGTCGCCATCCCGGAAACCCTAGATCAAATCGAAGAGCCTCGATCGTAAACAAATTACCCGAGAAAACGACGAGGGGAGGCGGTGAAAGAAGGGATCGAACCCCCGAAGCTCAGAACTGTGTGAATCTGAGGAAGGAATGGAGGCGGGCGGGAGGGCGTCCGCCGCCGGCTTTTATACGTCTGTGCGTAGTTCATGGCGTTAGGGTTATGAGGCGAAGGGGGAAAGAGCAGCGGAAGCTTCATCCGACGGTGGATATTTCACGGAACGAATCAAAACGCACTAAATCTCAACTGCCCGACAATGATCCAACGGTCCACGATTAGATTTGCATCTCAAATCACCTAATAAAGATTAATTATTTGTTGTATAGATTTATCAAAAAATAAGATAACGTAACTAAATTAAGATTACTTAAAACTAAAAATTTATCAAAAATTAGGTTAAAACTTTCGATCATGCTGAAAAGTCAAAGAAGAAAAATCAAGAACCAGACCATTAACTGATCTGATTTAATTATTGGATTAGTTGTGTTAAAAATAAATAAATCAATTGACCATAAAACTAATTTGATTTTAATAATACAACAAAAGACATGTTTGATATGTAAGATGATGTATACATCAATCATAAAATTAGGGTTGACATGAGAAATAAATTAAAACCGATCAGGTTTAATGTAATTAGCATGAATGTATGTATGTATATATAATGTTGGTTGATCTTCTTCTTTTTTTAATTATTTTTTAATATTTTAATTAATTAAATATTTTATTATATATAATTTAAATTTATTAATTATATCTTTAAAATTAAACATGTAATCCGATCAGTATCTATCGGTTCGATACTATCCATTGAATCTTTTTTCTTACATAATGAAATAAAACTCATATTTTATACTGAACAACAAAAGCTTGAGCATTTCACTCATTCATACAAAAATTATTGAGACTGCATGTAGAATAAATTTATCACAAGATACAAATTTCTCATACATCTCATATTAATTAGCAAGTAATGAAATGAAAGACGGCATAAGTATGTATTATTATCATCTGCATCCACATGGTGGTGCTCAAGAGGAGAGGACACTTTCACAGAGGCATAAAATGGCATATGACATGACTCAGAACTAGAAGACACTATACTTGGGGTGATATCAGATGTGATTTCGTCTCAAATCACTCCTTAAGCATTGTGTTGGTTATTACGATCCACTTTGCTTCATGCTAGACTCCTTGATCGAAGTGGCTGTCATACGGTGTAATGTTGCTGGATGGTGTCGATATCAAGCCCTTTGAGTTTCACCACTGATTCGACATGTCCCTTCAGAGTGTGCAGTTCGCGGAGCCTGTGGATGATCAGGGCATGACAAACTCAGGACCTTGAAATATGTTTAAAAGAAAAAAGATTTTGAAATTTTGAATGATTCTAATAAGATATCAGAGCAATGATCATTGAAGAATATGGTGTGTGATTGCTACCAGAAGACATACCTTGCAATTTCAGCTCGCCTTTTGGCTTGCTCAGCGATTTCTGAAAGTTCTCTATAGCTGTTCTTGTCAGAGAAAAGGTTAGCGGTCTCAGGGGGTTGGAGTCCATGCAGAGTTCTCTGAGCCATAGCCCACTGAGCTTCCCTTTCTTCCCTACCATAATCTTTCTTGGTAGTGAAAGCAGTCTGAAATTTAAAAAGATAGAATTGCAGATTTGAGGAATTAGTAAAATCAGTTAATTAAACACCAAAAACAGGTTATCAAATTTAAGCTAAGTATAGATAGGATTACCCTATTCTCAAGAAGATTATCCCATGCCTTCCCACTAAGAATGTACCGGATGGCAAATTTGAAACAATCCAGAGGGAAGAAGAAAACAATGCTGTAAAGCCAGATAACACCAGCCCAGCCCCAGCCTATACCTTTTATTCGTGCAAAACTCCAGTTAGCATAGACAGCTATAACCGTTGCAACCTGCAAGAAACACATGATATCTTCATTAATAAAGAATGATAGGAGATAAGAGCACTACAAGTGCAATCTTCCATTTAGAAACACATTCTTGTTCGGGTAACAATCTGAGAAAAAACACAAGAGAAATATACACATATTATAGTGTTACAAATACACATGAGAAATATACAACCTTCTTCACCAAAGAAGATTATCGGAAGTTAATGATTTTGTGAGCAGAATGACTAAATAAGCCAGCTTCATCAAGGCAAAAATAAATTTTCAATTCGATGTGCGTGTAAGAGAACTTCATCCTAGAAGAAAATGTCTATGTATCAACTGAGACCTAGACAAAATAGTTGAGACTTACTCATTCTTATGACATCTTGTGCTAAACAGTTAAAACTAATCTCAAGCAGTTTAATGGTCTTCACTTATCATGTGCCCTTAATACGTGTATGAACATGAAACTTACATAGAGGTAGTCAAATTGTGGAGAAGAGACGTGAGGAAAGAAAAATACTTACAAGCTGTGCGATGACAAATGCAGTGACTAAGAGAAGTCCAGGGCGCTCAACAAAGCACCAGCTGCGTGATCGCGTGACAAATATAAGAGCCTGACTAACGATGCTAACTTGCAGGTACAAAGCAGCCATCATTTCATCCTCACTGTGCCTCAATGATCTAACTTTAAATTTGTCCTGCAAAAAAAATCACAAGAAACTATGTTAAGTTTCCATTTATTTCTGTGGAGTCAATTAAATATTGGCATGGCATGTTCACAAATTTACCAAATGACAAGGGTGAGAAACTACTCTCATGTAGAAAAGCGCACGACATGATCATTGAAACATATGATATAGACCAACAAATTTTAACAAGCAAGATGATACGTTAATGTGAAGAGAAAATGGATAACCAATCTGATTGAATTGCCTTGAAATTCTCCTTTTGCATAAAAAGAGGATAAGAAAACTCACCGAGAAGAAGTCAGTGTCTTTCATGGCCCAGAAGAAGATAACAGTCATCAATGCCAAATAACTCCCAAACACAACGCCTGTTGCAAATATTTCTTTCAACTTCCAACTGTCAGGCAATGGAGATGGCTTCACCCGGTCCTTTGAAATTGTCATAATTGTACCTTCAGTTACCAAAGATCAATAGGGAAACACCCAGATGTCAGAATGAACAGGATGGAGACTAGAAACAGAAACAACGTGAAATCACCATTTGTTTGTTAACTGAACTTACCATCATTTAGAATAGCAATAATTAAAACCATGAAGGGTGAGAAGTCAAACTTCCATATCAGTGCAATCAGCATAAAACCAAGCTGAAAAAGATAAAGCAAATAATAAACTTTTTCCAGAGCAATGGTAATGATAGGCATAAAATTTTTACATGCAAGTAATGAAGGTTTGAGGTTTAAATTGAAACTTACAACAATACGGATGGTGATAGAGACAGCATATATCTGCAACAAAACATCATAAAGGATACTCAGTGACAACAGTAGAGAGGTGAGAAAATTGAAAAAAGCATAGTTGTGATTTTATCTCATACAGTGTAGTTCTTCATCCTTTGGAATATAGCTCTGCTAGTAAGGACAGCACTAATGATGACACTAAGACCAGGTTCAGTAAGGACTATGTCGGAGGCACCTCTAGCAGCATCTGTTGCATCAGCAACTGCAATACCAATATCAGCCTTCTTCAAAGCAGGAGCATCATTAACTCCATCTCCTGTCATTCCACAAATGTGCTTCCTCTCTTGTAACTTCTTCACAATCTCATACTTGTGTTCTGCTCCAGGAGATAGTCATCCATAAGAAATCAAAGTATCGAATCTGAGATCACATCACTTATTGAATGAGCGTAAGTTCATAGGCCACCTGGGAATACTCCGGCAAATCCATCAGCCTTCTCTATCAGTTCATCAACAGGTAGTGCTGCCATTGATGCATCCTTATTTTGGCCAAGCAATGAAGAGGAAGGATACATGTTAGTTCCCATTCCAAGTCTCCTGCCTGTTTCCTTAGCAATGGCAAGCTGGTCACCTGAACTGGGCATGTTTGTTAGGAAATGATGACCAACCAACAAAATTGCAACCTAAGAACTAAATGCAGAGATGACTTACCTGTAATCATTTTTACATTGACACCAAGATTGAGGGCCCTGCGGATAGTTTCAGCACTATCATGCCTTGGGGGATCAAATAAAGGTAACAGACCGACAAATTGCCATGGCCCCCCTGAGCTCTCTCTGGACTTTTCTGGAACTTCCTGCAAAAAGAGAGGAAACTATTGTTCAAAGGAAAAGCCGAAAAGAACACTCATATAGTAGCAATTAAACCAACTGAGGACAGAGAGAGCAAACCTGTCTTGCTACAGCTAGTGATCGAAGTCCACGTTCAGCATATTTATCAATTACAGAATGAACCTTATTCCTGACATCTTCTTTGCAGTTGCAAAGGCTCAAAATCTGTCCTCGAAGCCGAATAAATTAAGAGGCACAGCAAACAGTAGAAAAATGATTAAAAGTATGCTTAAGAAAAAAGAAAAGAAATTCAAGGGACTAAATTTACCTGCTCCGGTGCACCTTTACTTGCACGATGCCAGTTGCCAGTGACATCGATGTAGGTAAGAGCAGTTCTTTTGTCAACAGGGTTGAAGGGGAGGAAATGTAACTCCCTAATACCCGCTCTAGCCTGTCCAACAGAAACAAAATGTTGATCAGACCTTACAAGAAATGAAAGCATATTACCAACGGGGTCATCAACAACAGCTTATTAGGCATACCTCCTTTGGGTCTGCAAGCATCCCCACCATTGCGGCGTCGATGGCATCCTGGTTCTCCGTCCTTGATGCTCTTGCTGCCAATAGGATAACATGCTCCTTATCCACACCCTTTGCAAAAACCTCGATCAGGTTCTTGTCCACACTCAATTTGTTTAGGGTCAGAGTCCCTGTTTTATCACTGCACAGTACATCCATGCCGGCCATCTCCTCAATGGCAGTCATTCTCTTCGTGATAGCGCCTTGTTCCGACAGGCGGTGTGAGCCAATGGCCATTGTCACTGACAGGACAGTAGGCATGGCAATTGGGATGCCTCCAATCAAGAGCACCAACAGGTTGTCGATCCCATCCCTGTACCTTCTGTGTTGTATCGGATACATGACGATGATCTCGACGATCATACCAACTGCAATGGAGCAGATGCAGAAGTTGCCAATGGCCGTAAGGACCTTCTGGAAGTGCCCGACTTGGTTCGTGCTGTCCACAAGATGAGCTGCTTTCCCGAAGAAGGTGTGGACACCGGTGGCAATAACGACAGCCTCGATCTCACCCTGCTTGCAGGTGGAGCCAGAGAACACTTCGTCTCCGGGATTCTTGGTGACAGGAAGCGATTCTCCGGTCAAGGCAGACTGATCAATCTTCAGTGGATCTCCTTCGAGAAGACGGGCATCGGCAGGGACGATGTCACCCAGTTTGATGCTGATAATATCACCTGGCACGAGAATTGCTGCGTCCTGCTCGCTCCAGCGGCCATCTCTAAGCACCTGTAACCACCAACGACTAAACCATTGATGTCTCTACAGCATCAAGGATGAATTCAACGTAAGTCTCGAACAGAATGACAAGTACGTACCTTTGTCTTGGGAGCAAGGCCTGCCATCAGGGCGGCTGCGGCATTGCCCGCGTTGTTTTCTTCGATGAAACTGATGGTGGAGTTGATGACGAGCAGCACGATGATACCGACGAAGTCTTGCCAGTCGGGCGGCTTGCCGCCGCCGTTGGCCAAAGCGATGGCCATGACAGCGGCCATCTCCATGACCCATGAGAGGGGGTTCCACATGAAGCCCAGAAACTTGAGAACCTTGCTCTCCTGCGGATCCCAAACCCATCCATTCCTCAGCCCAAGAAAATTTCATCAAAGCAAACAAGCAATCGACTCCAAAAACTGAAATCTTTCGAGAAGAGTTCAAAGAATATGACTTTTTTCTCTTCGAGCTTGTTTGGGCCAAAGATTTGGAGCCGATTGGCTCCTTCTTGGGATGTCAGGCCTTCTCTGGTGCATTTCAGTTGCTCAAACACCTCTTCGATCGGAACCCGTTCCTGAAAGCAAAACCAATATGTCAAATGAAAACATTAAATAAATGGTCCAAACCGCAACACGACAAAACATATAAAGCTTCAACTTTTCATGATATGTTGGTGACAGATTCCAGTAATGACATCGCGTGCAGGAACAGATTCCACGCCAAATAGTGGAAGCCGTGCAACGAGCATAGAACTTGGTAGCCATATAGTGATTCGCACTGTTCCTCGCACGCGTAAAATAAAAGAGATTTGGAGGATTTCTTTGGTTTACTCTGCGCTTACGGAAAGACTTTATCTTTCGTTACGGACGAGTACTTACGGAAGTCGTTGATATCACGAGACCGCAAGGAGTCTTTTTCTGTTCTATTCTTCCGCTGGAGAAGAACAGAAAGAGAAGACGACAAGAGGGAGCTTAAAATCAGGAGAAATGTCGGGAATACTATAATAGCAAGCAGCGCATTAGGAGAATTAAAATTGATGATTCTTATTTGCGTTTCTTTCCTCTTCGACTCCTCCCTTAATTGGACTCGCCAATTGAATAGAAGGAAATGAAGATCAAAACCTAGGCGAATCCTAATTCCATCATCATCATCCCATAATACAGGAGAAAATAAATAAAAAACAAACAGAAAATTTAGATTGTAGAGAGTATCCATTCGTAGAAAAATCTTTCTTCTATGTGCAATTTGAGTTCTTAATGTAAGTCCATCTCAGGATCCTCACTTCAGCAGCCAAAAAGGGGAGAAAAGGGAGGATTTTTAGTAGATTAACGCCAAAATCATCAGGCAAATGACGCAGAAAGAAAGAAAATTAGAAGGGAAGATTCAATAGGGCCGAGGAGTCATTTACAAGATCGACGTTCTCGTTCTTGATCTCTTCCAAGCTGATCGCTTTGTTTCCGGCCATCTCCGACTGAGATCAAACAACACTGACGACGAAGAAAGATGAATCCGGGCGGAAGAGAGGGAACCCTACAGTTCCGACCCGCGCCTCAGAGGAAGCGACTATCTCACCGGACTCTATATATTCGCTTGGAGGAGAGGAAGAGATTGGTCTTAATGGAGAAGGAGAAGAGCGGAGAGCTGCGAGAACAGAAGATCACCGGAAGCGGGCAATGGAGGAAGACGCGCCTCCTCGCTCCATATTTGTACACCGCCACAATACCCCGTCGCCCATCTTGGCGGCCCCACCGGCCTCTTCACCTCCCCGACTGCTCAAACAAGTACGCATAGTCGATCCTACGCGCGCGCACGACGATCGCGTATATCTGCATCCGTCCCGCTTTGAGAGGCACGCTGGTATATGATCGGTCACCTGGAGATGCGTGCTGCGATGCGGACACCCGCAAGCGTTCATGCTCGTCTTCTATGAGAAAGACCGCAGAGTGAAAGAAAGAGAGGTCGAGCGGGGCCCATCTTTTTTTACCGTGTCGTGGCATCCTGCAATTGGCCGGAATGTCGCCCCCATTTAAAACGAAATAAAAAATTGCCTAATTAATTAATGGCAATATTTGATTGCGTACAGGATCCTCTCCAAGATGTGTTGGAACTGTGACCTTCCCAGTTTAAGTCTAGTCCGTCCATTATCACTATCAATTTTTATCCCTATTATTTTTTAGTATATTATTATATATATCCCTCTGAATATTAAAATGCTTCATATATATCTCTCATATTACATGAAACAAACCAAACTAAAATTAAGTATTACTGATCATAATTATCTAAAATATGCTAATCCAAATATGTTCTTCCTATCTATGTTAAAATAAATGTTTTTCTAATCCAAATACCAAATTATTAGAGTTCACACAGAGCAAAGATAGTCAACTCAAATAGATTAATGCTAATCAAAATTCAAAGTAACTAATTTAGGTGTTTAGTAAAGATTGGAGGATTTAAAATTTTATTTATCATATTTTACAACTGTTAATACTTGATATGAGTGACAGATTTAAGAGAATTGATTAGCTCCACTTAGTTCAAATTTGATCTGCGTCAAAAACTTCTCGAAGTACTTAAAACACTAAGTGTAGTGTCGAAAGAACGCTCCAAACTTCTCGAAGTACTTAAAACACTAAGTGTAGTGTCGAAAGAACGCTCCCAACATAGTTTAATCGACACTGAGTTAAACTCTGAAAGTAAATTTAAATTATTCGACCTCGAAAGTATATCACATATTTAATTTTTATAGACAATCCTTATGTTACAATCATGATTTTACTACCATGACATATTTATCAGTCAATTAAGATTTTTATCTTTTTTTTATGATGTGATTATCATATGTCGATCTTCAAATTGTGATGTCGTAAATCTATTTATCAAAAGTTAAAGATTTAAAACTTATCTGATATATGTCTATACTTAAAATATTAGCTTGATAATAATGTATCTGACTAACTCTTGGGAATGCCTCCCTCTCCAACTGATGAGAACTACCGTTCCCATCAACGCATTCAGAGTCCACGGTGGACGATCGGAGAGTCAACGGGAAGCACCGCCAGCACAGTCTGCGTCAGAAGAACAAGAAGATGAGGGGTGGTTAGTCAATGCATGCGTTTCTTCATGTAGTGTGGTGTTGAAGAGTGCCAAATAATTGAGGTAGATCTCTCTATCTCCACCCTGTTGCCAAGTCAAATGTCTCATTAGTTTTCCTCACAAAGTCTTAGATGACATGAAAGTAAACAGCAAATCCAGAGAAAGGAGAACAGAGACACTTTTTTTCACCCACGATTTCAATCAGAATCATTACAATTCCTATTTTGACTGATTGGCAATTCCTCATCATCTTCCCTTCGCTTCTTTACCATGATTTCAATATTTTTTTCTTTTATTTCTACCGGCAAATTATGATATTAGGTTGGGTTGGCATAAAAATGATAATATATACATACATACATACATACATATATATATATATATATATGTATATATGTGTATATATTCTTCAGTTAATAAAAAAAAAGCACATTTGTAAATAAAATATGTTCCAATATTATTTTTCTTAAATCCCGGCAGGACATGACATAAAGCATTCTTCCTTTATTTATAAATATATGTAATTTATTAGGAAAAGCACCAAGAAATAATTTGAGAATGTTGAGAAAATAAGATATCTCAAAAATATTGATGAAAAGGAAGATTGAGTACCAAAATGAGGAGGAAATGATTTGTTCCTGTCAGCACCAATCAGGCAGCATCAAGTCAACTGTGCAATTAAATCTACAACCATTGCATGAAAAATATTGTGGTGAGGCATGCAGATAACAAAGCTAAGAAATCTGCAGAGCATCAAGAACATGGAATGGCCTTTACCAATCATGCAAAAAAGCTTTGGCCCTCTTTGGACCATCATCTTCTGAATTCAATAAGGAGTTTGTGTCACCAAAGAACAAGAAAGATGACTAAAGATGAATGCTTCAGTTGTCTGTCTTCAGCTAACCTAAAGTAGCAGAGTATGCTGTCATACCAAGCATGGGATATTTTAGTTAGTTTATATCATGCTTTTACACATAACAGGGATTAAAGTTAAATCTACAGTTAAAAAATCAATATAATATATATGAAATTTTGCCAAAGAAATAAGAGTATGTGTGTGTATGTGTGTGTGTGTGTGTTCTTAAATGAGAATGGTATTTAGTGCAAGCTTTGATGAGTTACATATTTGGTGCCTTGCAACAAAGTCCAACCTTTGCATTATTGGTTGTTATCCTACTGTGTACTTTGCAAGATGATCATAAATGGTTCCCAGATATGATTCCATAGTTCACTCAAAGAAATGAATGAGGGATGTGTTCTCCAGGAGCAGTTACTTTCATGAGCTGGTATGTGCTATGTGTCTCAAAGATGCCTGAAGCACTGAAGCAGAATGAGTGGTGCATAATGTATAGTACAAGATGAAACCCTTCTTTCCTGTACCACCCAATGGCACTCATCTCTCTTCACCATCTTTTGACTTGATGGAAGGGCAGAAGTATGGGAGATGCAAGGATGAGATCTTTGAGGGACAAAAGAGAATATTATGCCTAGCCAATGATTTCTATTGCAGTTTAATTCTCTCTCTCTCTCTCTCTCTAGCAGATGGTTTTTCTATTAATTTCTTGGCCAGTGAGTGACAGATGTTCAGAGCCATGATATTAGATTCCAACCAAGAAGAGGTTTAGATCATGTCCTATTTGGAGGACAAATAGAAATATGCAGATATATATGGGATGCATAATACACTGATGCTTAAATTTGCATCCACAATAATGCCAAGATGATCTTTATGATCTATTTTACTGCCATCCTGTTTTATGATATTACTAGTATTCTAGACAACAGCAACACTGGTGTTCCCAATAATTGCTATCTTCCCAATTTTACTCGGAGAGATATTTGGTATTGTTAAGGACTAAGTGATGTCTATGGAAAAATCTCTCCAGTCTTAGTGCACACACATCTTGTAGCTCCACTGTCTGCTAGAATTCCATGATTTATGTTAAACATCATAACAATAGGTAGAATATGATCTAGAACCAACAACTGACCTGGAGATAACTATTCATGTTCATGGAATCAAGACTATTGTTATCTGGTCTATTTAGTGGCAAAGAGAACTTTTGTTGAGGACCAGATGTAGAATCACTGTACTGTTGGTATCCACTGGCTGGGACTTTTTGTTCTAATCTATGTTGGCTAACCTCCATAAGTGTGCACTTCAACTTGAAGTTGACAGGTAATGGAGATTCAAGTCCCACATTTCTTGCTGCAAGAAGTTGACAGGTTAAGCAGAAACTTGTGTTATGTTTTGTTTAGCAAGATCATTTGTTGCTGAGTTCCAAATTCTCATAAGATTTCTATAGGAAATGTTGTGGAAGAAAAATATAAGGCAGTGATCAATCAAATGTATATGACAGTTCTACCCTGAGAACATATCAGCAGGGAAGGGAATGATTCAGCTAAAGAGAAGCTATGGACAAACTCATCAGAGGTCTTCACATGCATTAGTAGTGTCACAAGAAATTATTGGCAATCTGGAGAGTCACAAAGAAAGACAGGAAATGGTGGTGGCAGGCATTGTATGACTAGACACCAATTGTTGAATTCCCAAACACATATAAACTAAAAGATGGCTCAACTTTAGATATAGAACACACAATATCTTCCCTGCCTTTTTCCAGGTCCATGCATCTTTAAGACCTATAGAGTAGTGGCTCCAATGATAGCACTAGATAGTAGTAAAATAATATGTTTCATACTTGGTTGCTCATACCTTTCCCCCTGTCTTTTTTGCCATTTTGTGGAAGTGGAGAATCTGTTGCAGTCCAGTGCTGGTTCATTATAGTCCAAGAGAAATAATGAGTTTCCTGCATGCTAAGAGAGCAGAGCAACTTGGGAGGTGTAGTCTCCATCAAGAACAGGCCATGGTGGAAAATGCTCACCCCTCAAGGCTAAGAGAATGAGAGTATTCCT